TTAGAAGATACATTTATAATTTATCCCATATATATCTTTTACAGTGGACTTGGGAAGAAGAGAAGGTATTGATGGTCCGATACCAATTCTCTTTTATCTTTTTTTCTATTTGACATGCATATTTTAGCACGTCTTTTTATTTTTTTTTAATTTTATTTAAATTATATCACTCCTTATTTAAATCACATTATTTTTCTATATATATATTTTTATAAAAAATTAAAAAATATATTTATTTAAATCATTCTAAACCATCTCCCTCTCGCCTTCACAATTTTTATCTTTTGGATGAATAACAATATTCTCTTTATGCAAATAAGTTATTAGTTGGTGCAGACATAGCATCACGTGGCATTCTATGTATTATAATTGATAGAAAAAATAAAATCTATAATTTTATATTGAATAATTAAAAAATATATGATAATTAACACATAAAAATGTTTTGAGAAGATGGTTAATTTTTGATTTTTTATCAATTTTTTTGATTTTTTAAGAAAGTGAATTAGGAAGATAGTTAAAAGCTGTTTATGGCTTTTTTGGTTAATATTTATTTATGATGTCATAACATAATAAAATGACCAAACTAGCCCACCAAATTTAAAAAATTTATATTTTCATCCATGTATAATCCTAAATAATATAAAGAGTATAATTCTAATTTTATATGTAATTTTTTTATACTTGCCAAATGACTCCATGGCTTAAAAAGCCATCTAGCTTTTTTAATCCCCAAGCTGCAAACGCAGCTTTTAAGGCATGGTTTGGGAAGTTGGTTTTGGTGGGTTAGGGGTTAAAATAGTCACAAAAAATAAAATAGGTTATTTTAGTCATAAAAAATAAAATATCAAATCTAACCCATAATCATTACACTCCTCTCTCACAAAAAAAGTTAAAAAAGTCAAAAAATAAAAAAATCCTTCATAAACCAGGCTTTTTAACCCTAGGCTAAAATAGCCAAAAAGCCAACCCACTTCCCAAATGGAGGCTAACTCAACTTGCCAAAAGATCACATAGTCACGTAGGAGTGATTCAAGAAGGTAGTTAAAAGTTAATTTTAACTTTTAACCTATTTTAAATTTATATTATCTCTCATATTAAAATAAAAAAAATTAATTTTTAATTAACTTTCTAAGACCATCTCCAACGATTCATCAAACCTGGCACCAAATTTAAAATTTGGTGAAAAAAACACTTTTTTGAGTTCCAACGGTTTCACCAAATTGATATCAAATCGAGAATTCTTCAAACCTTTCACCAAAATGAGAACAGGCTCCGCATTTCACCAAATCACTGTTCCTGACCATTGGGGGAGACCAACCAGCCGACCACTAAAGGGTTCAAACAGTTCAAAAAAAAAAGTTCAAACAGTTGCCCAACTGGTCGTCCCGGAAAATGTTCAGAAAGTTCAACAAAAAAGGTTCAAACAATTTAAAAAAAATAAAATAAAATTTTCCCTCACTGGTCGACCAACTGATTGTCCCAGGACAGATTTGATATTTGGTGAATTGTTAAAGCATCTGATCCTAAATTGAAAAAATAATAATTTTTTTAATCAAATTTAATAAAAAATTTAGTAAACTATTAGAGATGCTCTAAATCACTCCATAGTGTGCTGAACCAAATAATTTTCCTTTATGCAACTCCTTGGCTTTTGTTTGGTTTTGTTGAAGGGTAGCAAATCTGAGTCAGAGTCAGAGACACCAGTCATCACCATGTCTTGTTGTTGTCGAACTTTTTTTTGACATTATTACCTCCAAATTTATAATAGAATAATGTATCCTCCATAATAAGAAAAAGAGTTGTGATCAGATTTGGAATTTGTTGTTTTCCTTCAAGAAACCTCTCTTATATGGAAACAGAAGATGGTGGTCAGGCCATCAGATTTGGAAATTATGCATTTCTTCAAGAAATCCTCTCTCTCTCTTTCCAAGTTTCCATGATGTCAGTACTACTCATGACTTCTAGGCTAGGCTGCCTTTTGTTAATAATAATCATTTATTTGGGTTGGGTTGACTTTGTTTGCACTATTCGAATTTCGAACAGATGTTACATAATATTTTTAGGAAAATGCGGGCGACCCCAGTAGTGGGGCGATTCCAGTGACCCCCAGTTCACGTGATTGTATGTTAAAAAAAAAGAAAAAAGAAAATTGACGAACGACGTTGCGTCACGTTACTGGAGGTCGACTCTAGTAAAGGTGTATAGCATTGTTGATATTTTTATATAATGGGACATAAATAAAAAATAAAAAATAAAAAATAAGAAATAAAAAATAAGAAATAAGTCACATATATAAAAATTTCATAATTTGAGATTATTTTGAGATTTTTTTATTTAATATATTTTTAAAATTTTTATAAAAAAATAAAATAAAATAATATAACCTAAATCAATACATTTAATTTAGTTCATTCTCAAACTATCCAGTCTCATATCTATATCTTGTTTTATTAAATTTTTTGTGCAATTACTAATATTTGAAGTACAACTTTCTTTTTGCATTGGAGTATTTTTTTTAAAGCAATTTTAGTCTTCTAGAAAAGTACTTAAATTTAAAATCTTAGAATAAGATTTGTTTTGATTGTAACTCTCCAACAACAAGTATAAATTAATATTTAGATTTTAAATTGGGATTAATTTTCATATAATGTTATATTTCATGAAAAAAAATATTATGAAAACTAATTTTTAGAGTAACTTTTCAAGATAAATAGCATTTTTAAATATCCATTCTATTTATCATTTTAAGTTCTTGTGCATAGATTATTGATAATTTTAAAAAAAGAAAAGAAAAGAAAAGAAAGGGTAATAGATCCATCTGATAAATTATGTAATTAAATCATATATGTTTAAACAAATAGACAATATGTACACTTTCGAGTATATGTTGCATAATAAAGATAATGAAATCATCAACCTACAATCATCATATCAATTTAAAATTTTTATAGATGATCTATACACAAAAAAAATAAAATAATAATAATAATAATAATAATAATTGAATTAAATGATGGATTTATGGTAGACCTCACAACCCAAACAACACGGTCCATTCCATAACTAGACTAGAGAGAAGCGTCTCTTATTTGGTTTCATTTTCACAATTGATTTTTTGAAATATTTTTAAAACTTATAAACTAATTTAACAAAAATAAACACTAAAAACTATTTTCCTACCCCCAAGAAGAATAAAATCATAGAAAAATAACAAGTGTTTCATTTATTTATGTATTTGCACCAAATGAATTTTAAAAATTTTAGAAAATAGTTCAAAAAATCATTCTAAAAGTTAAACCAAACTGAGTTATCTGTTTTTAAACACAGCAACACCATAACTACAGGCATACTTTCCCTTTGCGTTTTGCAAACTTAGGTATTCTATTATATCAATTGTAAATTTATGGGAAAATTTCAGTGACGTGTATGTTTCAAAGAATAATTAAAAATAAGAAGTTAATAGTTGACCTCATTTAACACAAAAAAAAAAAAAAAAACGCATGCAATAATTCACGTGTTAATTGGATTAAAGCAATACAACCCGGCCCAAACTAAAAGAGGGAAAAACAGAGGCCCAATAGGTGCAAGCCCAACAACTTCCTGTCAAAATCAAGAAGCCTTTGCGCTCTCTCTCTCTCTCCCCGAAAGAATAAAATTGAGCAACACAAGCTGACATGAGAGAGCTAATATCGAAAAAATAAAAATAATTAAGACCTTCACTTCCTCTATTGAAGAAAAAATATTTCACACGACGGTGATGTTGTTATTGACATGGCTTATTAAGGATTATCATTTAACTCGAAAATTCATGAGTCGATTTAATTCTATCCAATCCAAACTTGTTTGGGTTAGGTTAATTTTGAATTGATTTTGAGACAAGACGTCAAAATCCAATTTGTTAGCCTGCGAGAAAATGCTTGTTAGCCTGTGAGAAAATACTCGTTCACCTGCCTAACAAAACGTAAGAGAAAAAAAATTAAGAAGGTCCAAAATTTTGATGCCTACTTGCTAGGCTAACAAAATGTAAGAGAAAAAAAATTAAGAAGGTCCAAAATTTTGATCCATTGGTTAATGATTGGCCATATCATGAGTTAATGATGAATCAAGTTTTATTTATTTATTTATTTTTATTTTTAAATTTTTTTATGGAGGAATCAAGTTGTTTACAGCAAAAAAATTCTTTGGATAATCACAGGATTGTGAAAGATAAAAATAAAATAAATAAATAAGTACAAATGTATTGACATTCATAAAATCATACAATAATATTAATCTTGTTAAATTTTTTAATTACAAATACAAATGAGGTGACCATGGATTGTATAGGATGATGACCCATAAAACCTCAAATCTTTGCCATTAGTTTATCAATCAAGTGGCCTAGAATTGAATATGATGAGCTATTTTCTTTTACAACCACCATGTTCTTTTTCTTTATTTCCATCACCTCCTTCCTTACATCACCATCATTATCTATCAGCTATCTCACCCTTCTTTGCCAACACAAGATCAAACTTAATGCCCCACTCCCTTACACAACAATGGACATATCATATCACAAACTCTCCAAAATTAAGCTCCAACGACAATGTGAAACAAATCACCAGTCCCCTTGTGAACCAAGATGGTAACTTGTAAGATCTATTCTCATACTAAACAAATTTTAGTTATTCTTTTTTAAAAATCCGTAAATCAATGAATATCACAGGTAATGCGGTAGTTAAATTAAGCTTAATTAAAGAATTAAAATAAAATAAATAATTAAAGATTTATATTGATGGAACCGCTAAAAGGTTAATAAATAAAATAATAATTTATTATGTGAAAATTTTAACGAGTCAAAAGTATTTTAAATAAATTTTAATGTTTACCTATACTTTAGCTTAAAAAAAAAATTAGTCAAATATTTTTATGAAAAATATTTTGTACCATTAATTTAACATCACTAATGCATCCCTCTATTTTTATTTTATTCCAACGCTCCACTAGGGGTCAATTATCTTCAATTAACTAATCACTGTCCTCTGATTTATTAAAATGTTTTTAAAAAATTGCTTTTTTCAATTCAATTCAATCCGATCAAATCTCTTTCTCGATTGTCTTCCTGAAATGAAATCGAAGCTCTATCCATCTGTAAAAGTTGGGCGTGGAAAACCCTAATTTTGATTTTCTCACTCATGATGCTAAACCCATCGGATTCATAGAATTGGGATGAAGATAACAGAAATTGATTATCTGAATCTGGTGGAAGTGGCATTGTCATACTCGACACCTTCATGGGCAACTCTTGTTGCTGGTGCTTTTGTGGTTGTCACTCTCACGCTCTCAATCTATCTACTTTTCGAACACCTCTCCGCTTACAAAAACCCTGAGGTCTCTTCTCTCTCCACCTCTTCTTTACCATTTCAAGGATTAAACTTTTGTTATACCCTCTGTTTTATTTGAATTTTTTCTTTTTTGGGTTTTCTTTGACAGGAGCAAAAATTCTTGATTGGGGTTATCTTGATGGTTCCTTGCTATGCTGTTGAATCAGTGAGTAATCTTGAGTTTTTGACTGATTTTAAGATGATTAAAGTTGTTGCTTTTATGATCCATGACTTGAAACATGTATATTGATCACTATATATATATATATACATATGCTAGTGATTACAGATAAAAGAATAAGAAAAAAAAAGGATGGTTCTTTTTGTTTGCACAAAGACCCTCCTATATATTTTCATATGAACGGGTTTTTCTATAGTTTTTTTGTTTATATGCTTAATCTTTGATCATTCAGGAACCATGAACTTAAGCTTGACCATTATTCTTTTCATCCTTGAAATCCCTTTTCTGAAAAAAATTCTGTTTTTAATATATGAATTATTGGATGTGAATTTTGGTTTTCTAAAGCAACTTCCAATATTAAACAAGAAAAATGGTGCTCTAATAGCACCACTAATGATGTGGCAGTGGGCTATGCTTTTTTTTTTTTTTGGGGTGGTATTTCCAATGCATTAGTGCTATTAGTGGTCTTTTTTTTATTTAGTGGTATGAATCATTGCTGTATTAAACAACTCTCTTGGATAGTTGGTCTAGAAATTGGTAACTGAGACACCTGTTTAGTGACTAAGAGTTCTAAGTACATGCTTCAATAGTATGTGTAACGTGTTGAAATGTGTTCCACATCGCCCGGAGTTGCCCATCTATTCTGGTTGTAAGACTCCAGGTTCCTTCTCCTTAATACTTGGGTTTTAAGGAGAAGTGTGGGCTGGACGTTTCAATTTGGTATCAAAGTTTGGTTGGGCCTATGATTGGTGTGTCGTTTGTCTGGCTACTGTATATTGTAGTCTAGGAGGGTGTGTTAGAATGTGTTCCACATCGCCTAGAATTGCCTCATCTGTGCTGATTATATGGTTTCAGTTTTCCCCTCCTTAATACTTGGATTTTAAGGAGAAGTGTGGGCTGAGGTTTTCAATTTAATGTGAATGGAACAAGTTAATTTCATTAGAATCAAACTGTGGAAAGACCAAAGAAATGGGAGTGTTGCCTGGCACAAGTTCTTGAACAGAAGCATCAAATGAAAGGACCGTGCCTGGAAGGACCGATTACCTTACAATTAACCCATTTGGCCAGAAAATTCTGCTAACTTCATAACAAACTCTTTGTGGACCACAAAATTTACACACTGATACTCTAAACTGTTTAGCTATTTTAGCTGGGATTTTGAACTTCAGTAGATGGTATAGTGGATCTTCGTCTTTTGAAATGGCAAATTGGACAAGATTAATCTTCCCTAGCAAAATAATATATGCTATCTTCTGAAGTTCTAGAAGCCTTTTGGTATTTTCAATCATACAATTGAAACCAAAGAATTAGCCGAATGGTGCCAAACAAAAGGGCCACATCTGGAAGAATCAGACTACCCAACACTCAAGCCTTTGTGACCACTGATCATAAAGTTTTTCCACTTTGTAGTCCTCTATTGCCTCCAGATGTTGACAAAAAAAATTAGGTTCACGTAAAATGTTAGCTTCTTTAGTTGCAACCTCAATGGCAGTAGTGAAACTGTATATTGGTTAGGATGAATCTTGCCTACCAAAAATGTTTCCTGTCTTTTAAAGTTGGTGGAAGTCTTTTAGTATTTTCAACCAAAAAGCCTCCAGAATAATTGAAGCAAGAAGATTAGTACAAAAGTGAAAATGAAAAGAAGAGGGCGTGTGATTACATAAAGTAGCAATGCGAGAAAGGAATGTATACTTGGGAAGGGCACCTCTGTTCTTAGTGATTATTTTTTTCATATACATCTTTAATTTCAATCTGATACAAACAGTTGAGCCTTTGTCTAAATTCATTAAGTCACCTGATTTCTCCTCCCACTCCCACAGTAGAATTTGTCAAAACACTATATTTCTTCTTATTGCTTTGCTTTATTTTAGCCCTTCTTTGATGCATCTTTCCTTAAGATGTAAGTTCCCGAGATCAGGTGTAATTGTTTAGGCCTTTTTTTTCTCTTATTCTTACCTTCCCTTTCTTAATATCTACCTTCCTACTTTTGTTCTTTATCTTTGCCAGATCTTTAGACCATCTCGTTCCTTACTTTTTACTTTCTAGCTTCATTCTATTGGTGCACTCAACTCATAAAGGTTTTCCTGCACCAACGTCTTTAAGGTAATGAGATTTCATATCCTGGAACTAGAATGATCACTGGAAAAAAAGAAAAAAGGTTGAGAGTTAAGAATATGGTATATACTTATTAAGTAGAGATTATGGTATGTGTTGTGGGTAGACCCATGCAAAAATCATTAGCACTTTCAATCTCTAACTGTTGCTTTTGGTGATTTGACATATTGATTCATGCTAATGTTATTCTTAGTTTGATTATTTTTCTAACATTCTCTGTGATTTTGAAGATTCCTTTTATGAATTAACCTAGTTCTTCTAGGTGGTGATGTATCATTTTAACTCTTTAACTTATTTATTTATTTTCTCTCTCTTACTTTTCTACAGTTTGTATCATTGATGAACCCAACAATTAGTGTTGATATTGAGATACTACGTGATTGCTATGAATCCTTTGCCATGTATTGCTTTGGAAGATATCTTGTTGCATGTTTAGGTATGTCTCTCTTTCACACTTCTTTTTTTCTTCCTTTGTTGTTGTGTCTTTTTTTTTGGAAAGTCACAACTTTATTTTCCTTGTAATTGTAAAAGTTGCTTGCACATATCAAATTGCTTTAATCAAAATCATTAGGTTCTAATTGGAATATGTGATTCATATTCTACAAAGTGCTTGGGATTGCATATGTCAATCATTACAAAAGGGATGTAAAGGAGAACAAGGTTCCTCCGAAAAGTAAAAGAAAAATCAAGAGCTACAAATCACAAGCAATCACTTTAATCAAAAACAAGGGAATCCCCTTAAAAACAGGAAAAACTGACCCCCAAAAAGAAGCTGAGAAATGCACTTTTTCCCACAAACTCCATAAATCTTTAAATTTCTCTTAAAATTCTTGAATTCCTTTCTAACCAAATTATCCAAAACACTGAAGTTTGGTTCATTGATGGAGCACAACCTGTTTATGACCTAACTGTTGGGATTTATGCCATATCCCGCCAACGCAAACGAAAGCACACCCATGCACACACCAAAGAGGAAAAAAAATCACACAGATTTACCTGATTCAGCCCAAATTGCTTACATCCACGGGAGAAAGAGCTTCCACTATGAATAAAATAGAAAATACATGTGAGATTAGCCAAAACACTCGAAACCCACACCATTACTCGAACCCCATGCTCAAGGGTAATTGAGCCCTTGCTCACCTGCAATATTTTTTCTCTCACCCCTTACATCTCTATTTTTTTCCCTCACTACTCTCTCAATCTCTCTCAGAGAAACCCTATAGTTTACATCATGACTATTTATAATAGTCTACCCATGAGAATCGTAGTTCGATACAATTAGATAACCAAATCCTATACATATTAGGTTTCCCATTAGATTCAGAACTCCACTATCCTAACCCAAATACATGTATAAACCAACCTAATAACTGTATGGAACCCACCTTTATCACATGGGTTGACTAATCCTAACACTAACCTCTTTTGTTAGTTTCTAAGTTTGGTTCATTGATGGAGCACATAGATGTTTCAAAGTTTTTGCTCATTACATTAGCAATCCTTTTTTTTTAATTTATATATATATATAGTCTATGTATGTTTTTTTCTTCCTTCTTTGAACAATTTTGTGGTTTTTTTTTTTTTTTTTTCCCTCACTATTTTTTTTTGGTTTCCTTTGTCCCCCTTTTCATGCCTCTTTTTGGATAAGGTGGGGAGGAGAGGACCGTCGAGTTTATGGAGAGGCAAGGACGTGCAAAAATCCCATTATTGGATCATGGTATAGAAAAGGGAACTATAAAACATCCTTTCCCCATGAATTATTTCTTAAAGCCATGGAAATTGAACCAATGGGTTTACCAAGTTATCAAGTTTGGAATTGTTCAGTATGTAAGTTTGATCTCATGCAAATAAGTTTTACTTTGCTAAAATTATTCCTGAATTCCTGAGTCAGTCAATTTATGGAACAACGCATTGATTGCTTTGGCAGATGATAATAAAGGCTGTTACTGCTATTTTATCAGTAATTCTTGAAGCCTTTGGTGTATATTGTGAAGGAGACTTCAAATGGGGATGCGGGTAAGATAATTTTTTGTTACAAAATATATTTCTAACTCGTGCAACAAATTACATTCACATGTCCTTCCATTGATCATTCCTTGTGGACTTGCATGTAATGTTCTTTGTATCTGTTTTTTCTGTCTACCAATTCTTAATGCTTTTATGTCTGGCATTGAATGCTAGACATTATGCCAATTCCCAAAAACATTATGGATGAAGGCTTGCATGTATGGCATGTGCTCCAATAGCCATGTTTGTTAGAATCTTACGATTCACGATTAGATTCATATGATTCGCTATGAGTTTCAAGCAAAATGATTCAATTCATGCAGTTGAATCTTAAATTGAGTAAATCTCACTATTCAATTCTGATTCAATCGATTTAGTTATGTTTACATAATGCATGAAATGGTGTCGTGTTCACAAAATAAAAAAAGAGATACTAATTGTATTAATATATATTGTTTTATTTGTATATAACATATATATACCTACACGTGTAGTTTATATTGATATTTATTTCATTATAAACTACACATTTAGTTATATATATGTTATATACATATATAAAATTGTATATTATGCTAAATAAAGTGGATCTTATGATTCATGGTTCACTATTTTTGCAAAAAAATTCAGTTTGATTCGCTATTTGACAACAATGACAATAGCTGTCTATACTATGCATTGTTGTTAAAATCCTGATCTGGATTCTTACGATCGATTTGGGCAAATTCATTCAGGTCATGTGGAAAATCCCTTGGAGGTAGGATCCTTCGCATCTAGTGGCTTAATTTTTTTTGGATCATGGAATTTTGTTCCCACCTGATCTGATTTTTAAGCCTTAGTATCTTTATATGGAAATGTTTTTGTTGTTATTTTTATGTTTGTGGCCTAAATAGCCATTTTGCACTAGGTATATATGAAATAAAAATTAAAGTCATTTTTAATTACATAGTCTTAAAAAAATTGTGGCAATAAGCATTTAAACGTTGTGGCAATTTGGGAAAACTAGAGAATTGAAGGAATGTTGCTACAATTTGAACATATCCATCTCCTTCTTTAGTCCACTCCACTCTTCAAACATGCTTCATCATCGCTGTCTCTCCTCCCTCATTGCTTAGTAGGTGATTTGATTGGTTTTCTCCCTTTTCCTCCATTTAATCAATTAGCCTAAGGTTAGTTTATTTGTTTTGTTTCTCTCTCTCTCTCTCTCTCTCTCTCTCATTGTGGCTGTAAACTAAACTACAATCTATTTCTAAATCTTTTTACTCTCTCTCTCTCTCTATTTATTATCATTATATAATTACTACTACAGAGTGCAAAGTTCTTTTTTGCATAAAACTCATCTCTACCGCTTTTTAATTGTTTTTCCCAGTGAAATACAAGGTTTTTTTTACTACTAAAATTTCTATTGTATATGTTTATATTTAGTTGGTGCATTTTTTTTTTTTATAACAATATCTCACTTATCTCTAGTGTAATTTAAGTTCATTTTATGTCTACTTTGGAGAAATGTTTTATGTTTTATGTTTTATTCATATAAAGTGCTGTCAACCTACTGATGATCTCCAATAAACTCCCAACCTACTATCTGCATGTATTATTGTCATTAACTACTCTTCTAATTTGCCACAACAACACTAAGAGGTGGTTGAATTCTCTGTTACAAGCACCAGCCCAAAATGTGCCTTTTGCGAGTGTGTTACACAAACAAGCCTGTGCTAAATATTATTTCCAATTATTCTATGGAAGATAGAACCTTGAACAATATGCTATTGGGAGTGATTAAACTAAGAGAGCAAATAAGTTTGTGTAATGTAAAGATCATGCAGTTCTTTGTTCCTTAGTATCTGCAGGACAAGTAGGAAAAATAAGAGTACTGTAGTGGGCCTTTGACACATTACGATATTTCTCGGGCTAACAATTGGCTGAAAGAGACTTTTTAAGGCCTAGTCCTTAGAAAAGAGGTCAGTTCATAAAAAAGGGCCTAATTCAATCTCATCTGACCTGTGCTTACTTATTAAGCTTAATGAATCCCAAACCTTGATTTGGTTTTGAAGCTAAAACAACTACAACAAAAGCTCTAAGCAACTTGGTGATCTCTAACTTTGAATGACCATAAAAGCTATTCATGCTATTCAAATAAATGAAGGGTGGAGAATGACCATACCAATTATACAACTGGGTTACCTTGTATGATTTGGGCACTAGTTTCATCATCATGCTTGGAGGTGGATCTACGGAAAGAGATGAACTTGTTAGTTGAATTGTGGATGTATGATATGGGCTTTGATCCATTAGCCGTAAAAAAATTGCTAAAATTCTTATCAAAATTTTAGTCCTTTATTCTTACAGCCCTTAGAAACTTAATCATTAGATCAGGTAAAAAGAATTAATAAGATTATGGATCAACAGAAACCCACAGTTACGTCAGTGATTGTGCATGCATAAACTACCAGTAGAATGCTCATACCACCTATTGATGTCTTTGCAATTTCTTCTGCATGCCTCTACTTCGTTTGAATTCCAATTTGACTTGGCAGAGTAGATGTTCTTTTACTAGTACAAATTACTGAGTTTTGTGTCTTGTATTGTGCCATTTTGATATAATTGGTTAGCAATTTTTATTTTTTCACTTTCAAGCTATATTTTCATATCAAATTGCTTCTACCATTAAATTGGCATATAATATTAATAAAGTCTCCAAGAGAGCATTTCTACATCAGCCTTTTTCTTTTTCTTTTTTGTAGGTATCCTTATATGGCTGTGGTTCTAAATTTCAGTCAGTCATGGGCTTTGTATTGTTTAGTTCAATTTTACGCTATCACAAAGGAGGAATTGGCGCACATCAAACCATTGTACAAGTTTGTGACGTTTAAATCAATTGTGTTTTTGACTTGGTGGCAAGGTGTGGCTATTGCCCTTCTGTATGCCCTCGGATTATTTAAAAGTCCAATAGCCCAAGCTTTGCAGTTTCAGTCAAGTGTTCAAGACTTCATCATTTGTATAGAGGTATTTGTCTTCGTTTTGATATGCTTCTGGTGAATGATTTACTTATAGTAGCTCATTTGGTGATATTTAATGGATATTGTTGCTCTTTTATGCTTTTCCCGTCTGATCTTCAAAGATGGCTGCCACTCATGTGGTCTAAATTTTGATGGGATAGCTTTTAGGGTCTGTTTGGATGGATGTGAATTTGAAATGTATGGACTTGACATTAATCATTCAAGGAGAATAACTCAATTTAGATTTAACTATGAATTTCAAGATTGAATTAAATAGATTTGTCATGATAGATTTGAAATAACTATATAAAAGTAGTCATTTGAAATCATGCTAAAGGCTTCTAGCTACAAGGATCCTATTAAAATACATCTCCTTTTTCAACTTATCTTCTATAATTTTTCTCTCCACCTATAATAGTTAACTCCCCAATATTTTTAACCTCAAATCCTTTGGTCTAAAATCCGCATCCATCCAAACGGATACTTGGTGAGTCTATCTGCTCAGCCTGACATATTTAACTTCAGTTGTGCTACCCTGAACGCATTTTTATTTTCAAATCTGTACTTCGGGCTTTTCACTATCTGTGTCGGGTGTTTATTGGATTATTCTTGGATGGCACTATTTTTTTTAAATCACATTGTAGTTTTAAATGGATCTCATTTCATACAAAAAGTGCATTTCCTTTTAGATGTGAAGTTATTATCATTAAAATTTGCTACAAATCTGTAGATTGGCTTTGTAGAAATGTCAAGCGAGTTTCTTAGTCATTAAGTGTCCACTGTCTTTCTTCAAAGCAAATAATATTGTGATGTTCTGATTATTAAAAAGTTTTATAGCAAACTCTTTGGGAACAATTCCAATTTGCATTTACCCAATCGCCGTCGGACGATGTTTCATGATTTCCCTCTATACACATGGAAACAGGCTATTTTTAACTATTATCATCCTTTTTTATGGTCTACAAGATAGCAATATACTGATGCTGAAGCTGTCATATAAAATATCTAACTTTAACAGGTCTTTATGTATTCATCCAGCACAGATGGGCATCGCTTCCGTGGTTCACCTCTATGTGTTCCCTGCCACGCCATATGAGCTAATGGGGGAGCGTTTTCACGGGAGCGTCGCAGTGCTCGGAGACTATGCATCTGCAGACTGTCCTCTTGATCCTGATGAGGTGAGGGACAGCGAGCGCCCTACTAAACTACGGCTTCCCCAACCTGACATTGATGTTAGGAGCGGAATGACCATCAGAGAAAGTGTTCGGGATGTTTTCCTTGGTGGTGGTGAATATGTAAGCTTTCTTCAGTTCTGTTGTTACTTTGTCAGTTCAAGCATGAGCTAATTGTTCTTCAATCCTATTGTCACGTAGTCGCCAGGGTATCTGAGCTAACTTTTGTTGCTGTTGGCTGAAAACTTAAGAATTTTTTGCCGGAGTATATAAATGTTAGCCAAGTAATCATGGTATTAGGATAAATGCAAATTACACTAAAAATTGCTACTCCTTACCCCCATGATCTTTTATTTGTTTCAATCTGAACCTTCTATTAACATTCTGTCTTGAAGAGGACAAAAAAATAGTATGCGAGCTGCCTATACCAATTTCTTTTTTTTTGGGTGAGTAAGTCATAAAATAAAGACAGTAAAATGTACAAGTTTACAAGGGGCATACCCCAGGTATGCCCTACAACAAATAATAAACGACTACAAAATATCAACATAAAACTACCACTACACGTCCTACAACATGAACCACCCCCGCAAAAGCTCAATCAAGATGGGAAAATATATGCATATCTCTCACATATATGTATATAACACACCTCTTGAATGAACATTTTTGGTATAAAATTCCCATGTACAGAAGATTGGGTTGGTGGTGAGGGGAATGTAGCAATTTTTAGTTGAAGGGGTTAAGTGGCAACAACCATAGTTGAGGGTGGTAAAGTGTAATTTTCCCACGTAAGAGCAACCGTCGGGGATAGTAGGGGACGTGGTCCAAGTGTTGAGGGTGGAATTGCTTTCCGTTGTAAATTCATCTGTTTTCTATTGATGTTGGAAGTGGGCCTTGGTCTTGCATCTTGGAGTCTTTAGATAAAATGAATGACTTGTTGATACCGATTTTGTAATTTGTTAACCATTTTATTTTTCATTGTTTCTGCTATGTTTCGGTCCTGATAATGCTGTTTCACCTCCTTTTACAGATTGTAAATGATGTGAAATTCACGGTAACTCAGGCAGTAGAGCCCATGGAGAAGGGATTTACGAGGTTTAATCAGAAATTACATAAGATCTCGCAAAATATCAAGAGGCACGATAAGGATAAGAGAAGGACAAAGGATGATAGTTACATCGCCTCATCATCCCCAGTGCGGAGAGTAATTCGGGGTATAGATGATCCCCTCTTAAATGGAAGTTTTAGCGATAGTGGAGTCTCGAGAGCAAAAAGGCACCGGCGAAAATCGGGATATACCAGTGCAGAAAGCGGGGGAGAGAGTAGTAGTGATCAGACCTATGGTGGGTATGAAATCGGTGGCCGGAGATGGGTCACCAAAGATTAATCAAAGAAAAGCGTTTATACCAACCGGAAAAGAGGGGAGAATAGTGCTTCAGGCATCACATTTAAAAAACGTCATTTTTTGAGCATTCACCGATGTCTCGTGTGATTTAATTGTACAAGACGGCTTCAAGCGCGAGGTATTTGTGCCCTCACTTCAAAAAAACTTTTTTGCTTTGCGCATGAGGTTGTATTTGGTCGGAGGTTATTTTGTTATTTGGATTTTTGTTTTCTTTTTATCATATGATTGCTGGTGGCTTTTGCTCAAATTTGTGGTATTACTCATGATTCATGTAATGTTTCCTCTATAAGTGATGATGGGCTTAAAAAAAATGTTGTATAGAGAGCCCTCGAAGGCTTGTGTTCTATTATGAGCTCTCTCTGTATTAGGATATATCAATTTGCTTATTGGTGGGAACTGCACACAGCTGTTTTCAGGAAACACTTCAAAAACTTACGACCACATGATGAAAGTGGATCTATTAACACGACGAAGTGTGGATTGGTAATGTTTATAGCTTATTATTTTTTATTTACAGGTAATTATTAAATACGTTTATGCTTATTTTTTATAAAAATGAAGACGCAGAATATATTTGGTATGCTTGTTTAATTTTTGTTTGTTTTTTTTTGTTTGTTTGTTTTTTTTTTTTTTTGTGAAAACAAGTAAAAGGAATGATCGGAGGTGGTTGTCACTGGGGATAGATGGTTGGTGGTTGCTAGTCGCGAAGGGTGATTGTTGATTGTGAGATGGTAGCTAAAAGTGATTGTTCGCTCTTGTTTAATTTTTGTTTGTTTGTTTGTTTGTTTTTTTTTTTTTTTTTGTGAAAACAAGTAAAAGGAATGATCGGAGGTGGTTGTCACTGGGGATAGATGGTTGGTGGTTGCTAGTCGCGAAGGGTGATTGTTGATTGTGAGATGGTAGCTAAAAGTGATTGTTCGCTGTAGGAGATGTTTACTACAAATGGTTGTTAAATGAGGTAACCTGCAATGGTGGCCGGAAGTGGTGGTGGTGATGAATAGTGAATGGTGGCAGAAGGGAGTTGGTGAAGGAGAACGAATTGAGAACCTTCTATTTTTTATTTTTTCCCTAAACCTGTGAAACCAACAGAAAACAAAAATAGATTCCAAAGTAGTTTTTATTTACAATTTTCAAAAATTTTATAATTATAAACATAAACATTAAGGGTGTGTTTGTTAACGTTTACGTTTTCAGTTTATATTTACAAAAATTTTATAAATTGGTTTTTGTTTATTTTTTATTTATTTTTAAAAAAAACATAAACTACAAACGCGTTTGGTAATTGACAAAATGTTTAAAAAAATTTAAAAACATAAAAAAGAGTGAGAAATGGCAAGTGGTCGCAAGTGGCGGCGGAAGACGGTGGTGGAAAGTGGTGACGGTGGGTGGTGGATAGTTGGTGGTGGGTGGGTCGGTGACAGTGGCGGGTGGATAGGTGACAGTGGCGGGTGGTGGGTGGTAGCGAGTGGGTGGCGGTGGCGGGTGGTGGGTGGTGGTGGATGGCAGGTGACGGGTGGGGGGTGATGGGGGGGGGGTGAGTGGGGGACAGTGGCTGCCCCTCCAAGGCAAAACACAAGTGTTTGGTGCAAAATCAAACACAGAACAGTCGAGTTGAGAGATCTTGAGGCAAGGCGTGTAGCCGAGACCTCCGAGAACTC